CTTGTGACACACACACACTGCAACTTGGAGTCCCTGGGTTGGTTATACTGTCCTCCCTTAACATTCAATTTCACAAACTAAGGCTTACATCGAAAACCACCTCCCCTGAGAGGACAGATCTTAAGTTTAAACCTCCTATTACTAAGGCTCTGATTCTGCAAATATACATTTAAGCACAAGCAGCCCAATTGACTTACTAGGATCAAATATGAAAGTAAAGATAAGCATGTGTTCATGTTTACAGGATCAGGCCCTAAAACAACAAATATTTTCTGCAAGTCAGAAGTCCTTTAAAATGCTGTTCCTTCTCATTTTCTGCAGTTCTTATTAGTATAATTAATCACAATGCTCTTTTAAAATTAAAGAATTCAAAATATTCTGCTTGTACTCTAGGATGGAGAAAATAAATACAAGCAGTGAATTCGTTTTTTGCAAGCTGAATTTTGGAGAAGCTGAGTCAAGTTATTAAATTATGTACACATGCATATGCAGAATCAATCAGCATATTAAAACCAACCATATATTTGTACAGTGATTACTTGTGGATGCATATAGCATCTTAACGGCCTGATAATGGAAACAATTTGTTTTAGAAACAGTCCAGAAGTTGCTAATTTCCAAATAATAGGAAATGCATTGCTTGACGGGTTTTTTCCTTTTTTTTTTTAGGATCTATACTGCATATAGAGTGGAAATATACAACGATCAGAGGAAAAAGCAGTGTGAAAAGTTCAGAATCTCCAACAGCTATGGCGACCCCTGCTGTACAATTGCAAGAGCAGATTCTGTTATCAAAATTCAATTAACTAGCTAGATTTCGCTCAGCATACAGGAGTATAAAAATGCTTAAAAATAAATGTATGTGTAGGCAGGCAACCAGACATACAGAAATACAGGACTTTTATTATTTTTCTGAGCATATTGTCTGAATATATTTGATAAAATTATATTTGCAAAGATTAATTTAGCAGAACTAATGGACAATCTTCTGACAGTGTATTTCTTCCTTCTTCTATTTCATTCCATAGCCAGGCTATCTGAGACCTGGTAATGAGGGTGGTGATTATTTATTAAGCCTGCCTGATGTGTGTATGACGTATTCTAAACAAAACCAATCAGATTCCCAGTTGATGCACTGAGTATTGAAAGTTCTCATCGCCTGTCAGGACTTCAAAGCTAGGATACAAAGCAAATGCTTGGTGAGATGGAATAGGCAGGTGAAAGCTAGCAGTGGAGAGTATGAGCTGTGTTTGCTACATATGCATCTGGTTAGTTGCCCTTAGGTTTTGTCTACACTGCAGGGCTTTGAGCGTCCACACCTCAAAAGCACATCGCAAAAGCGCATCGCTTTTGCACAAGAGAGTGTCCACACTACCTGGATGCTCTTGTGCAAGAAGGCTCTGATTGCCATTAACAGAATGGCCACCAGAGCACTTGTGCTTTACTGATAGGCTCTTTTTGCACAAGAAACCCCTGCGGAGCATCCACACATGCCTTTTTGCACAAGAGCTGTAGCACAAAAAGGAGCTATTCCTTGTGGGGAGAGGAATAATTCTACCAGCAAAAGCCCTTTGTCCTGTCAATTTACTGTATTTTTTTTGTGCAAAAACGCGCTTGAGGTGTGGACGCTCTGCCGGTTTTTGCACAAAAATCTTGTGGTGTAGACATAGCTTTTGAGATTTTGTTAAAATTAGTTTAATGCATTAAATGTTGTGGCAGTGTCTGAAGAAGAACAGAGTGAGAAACTTTTACCAGTGTGATTTCTTATGGAGAGGTATGTATTAGTTTAGTTCTTACCAGGTTCTTGCAGGAGTTGGTCATGGAACATATGCATCCCTTCAGGCTAAAAAGGCTGAAGGAAGAACATTTTTTCTGGGACTCTTTGCCATCTCATACTTCCTTAGGAACAGCCACAGAAAAGCATAAAGAAGAAATTTGTTTCCTCTAGTACATATGCAATTAGGTTATAACTAAGGAAAAGCCCTATAGAATTTAATAGATGAACCATCCTATGTAATTTATTGAAAAATGAGAGCCATTTTAAAGGCCTTTTAACCATCTCAAATTCTATAACTGATAAATTCTTGATTAAATTCTATAGGATGGTTCAAATCACTACATAAAGGTTACAATGTTTTCTTAAAATCCTGTAACTCTTTTTATGTGTATAGACATTCCTAAAACTTTACAGGCCCTTGGTTTATCCTCCCGTAGGGCTTCTGGCTATGGGAAAGGTAGGCATGGAAAGAAAGGAAGAGGTATCCACAGGTGCCCAGCTCCTGGACTGCAGCAAGGAAGGGAATGACGAGCCTACCCTGGGGCCAAGTAGGCTTGTGTTTACTTATCTTACATTATGCTGAACAAAGGGAAAATAGCTAAACAACCAAGTATAAAGAGTTAAAGAACACCCAAAAGGCACATCTAAATCATTAAAGAGGTTAAAAGCAAACATAGAAGAGGACTCACCACAGACATACCTCCTGTGGCTGAGCATGGTATAGCAGCTCTCTACCCTTAGGGCAGCGGTTTCCAACCTTTTCCAGATGGGGACCCATTTTGACAATTCAGGAGGACTTGGTGACCCAAGGAAACTCAGAGACGGAGGGGGCAGAACCACCTGGGGAGACGCCTGGAGACCCTTTTGAAATGTAATGGCGACCCATATTTGGGTCCCAACCCATAGGTTCTTGGCCAGGTCCCTTTCTGATCCCACACCTTCCAGGGTAACAGCAAATGCTGAACACCTTTACAAAAGGCCTTTGGCCCCTATTCTGGTCTCCAGGTCCCCACACGCTTCTCTTAGGCATGCCCAGTCATCCTTATCCTGTTCTCAGGGACCTTTTGCGGCCCTCCTCAGTGGCTGGTAGGGGAACCCAGGTCCTTACACTACACAGTATCCAGGGGCCCTATAACCAGCAGCCAAAATATGTTCTCTCAGGCTGTATCTATGCTGCAAGTTTTTGCAGCAGAAAATATAGCTGCAAAAACTCATTAGCATGTCAATCTCATTAGCATATTTCCTGTCCTTTCTTTTTGCACAAGGGGTTTTTGCACAAAAAGAAGCAGTGTAGCTGCTTCTGTTTTGTGCAAAAAACCCTTTTGTGCAGATCCTTATGCCTGGCTCCACTGCTCCTTTTTGTGCAAAAACCCCCTGTGCAAAAAGAAAGGGCAGAAAATATGCTAAAGAGAGTGCAATTTATGCTAATGAGTCCCTTATTAGCATATGAGTCCCTCAGACATCTTGCAGGCTTCTTTCTCCCATAGTCTATTTTTCAATCCTTCTTTCTGTTAGGGTTGTCAGGTGTCCAGTATTGACCTGGACAGTCTGGTATTTTTGCCTCCTGTCTGGTAAAAAAATTCAGAAAATACCGGACACCTAAAATGTCCAGTATTTTCTATTTTTTCCCCTGCCAGGAGGTGAAAATACCAGACACCTGGCAACCCTACGACACACTCAGCAACCGGGCCCAGCCCCAGGACCCCCCCGGATCTCCTGCCAGGCCTCCCAACCTCCCGCCAAGCCCCCCCCAAATGCCCCTACCCTTCCGCTTACCTGGTTCCGCAGGGGCTTGTCTTGTGGCTGGAACAGAAAAACAAGATGCCGCTGGCAAAAAAAAGCCTCTTCTTAAAGGGGCCATGCTGGTTTTTTTTTTTTTTTTGCACTTAGTAACTGCTGCCAGAGTCCTTTTTTTTTTTTGCTCAACAACTTTGGTCTCTCACCCCTTTTTTTTGTCTCAACAGAATTTTTTTCCGGGTGCTTTTTTTCGGGGGGTGGGGGTGGGAGGAAGATGTTTGACATTTTTGGTTAAATCATCTGGCAACCCTACTTCCTGTAGCTTTTCTAGATCCACTCTTCTTTCAGGGACAGGACTTGGAGGGCTCTCTCTTGGAAGTCTCCCCCTTCCCCAAAATCCCAGATTAAAAGTACACTTAATCCTGCTAATCTTCCCTCAGAAATGAGCTTTCATCCCTCACTGTTCCTCAGCGGAACCCTTCCCACAGCTCACTCACTCTCTTTAGAGCCCTGTCACCTGGGCTCACCACAGCAACTTGCTCCCCCTTGCTGGCTGGGCGGTTCTGTTTCTCTTTTGGTATCCTGCCCATTGCAGCTACTCAGGAGAGGATCCCAGGGCCAACTGTTCCAGAAGTTTTCCTCTTTGCCCTGCTAGGCACTCACCTCTTTAACACCAAAGCAAAGACTGCAGCATTCTTTCCATCTCTCCTTATAGCCTCCTTCAAATCTGTGCTTCCTTTCTTTATAGTCACCGCCTAACTCCTTCCCCATCTGGGCTTCATCTTTCATTAAGCCTAGTATACCCTCCAGGTTTAGTTGGTTGGGTTAATTGGCCTCTCAGGCCCATATTAACTTCTCACATCTCGTAAGTAAGGATTAAGAATTGTACCCGAGTAAAAGAAAAGAAATGAATATCTTATCACGTGATACCTTCTCTTTCTCTCTCACCTTCGTAACTGTTCTTTGCCTTGTTGACTCTTCAGACTGTAACGGTCTTTGGGAGAAAGGATTCCTCACTATCCCAATCATCTTGTATGTCTGGGAAGTGCTTTGCATACTTCTGAGTGACTAACAATAATTTTTCAATGTGTCCTACATGGGATCAACTGAGAGTGAAATAAAATTTTGTCTGGATTTTGTCTGAAGTGAAAAATTGCACTTCTTGGCAAAGTCTTTGCATGGCGGTGCATATCTAATCATTTGCCCTGGTCCTCCCTCTGGGAAAATCACCTCACTGTGTCAGCTCCTTTGGCTTCCTAAGCAATGTAAAGAACTGACACAATGTAGGATCCTAATAACAATCCAGCACCAGGAGTGAAGCAATTTGCAATTCACTTTCTTTGATTGTATCCCTTTGGTATATATGGTCATGCCAATTTTCTTCCACAATTTGATCTGAGGAAGTGGGTCTGGCCCACAAAAGCTCATCACCTAATAAACTATCTTGTTAGTCTTTAAAGTGCTGAATAGTCCTGTTTTTTGTTTCAGCAAGACCAGACTAACATAGCTACACCTCTATCACTCTCCCTTCTTGCCACTAATGTAATAATATACCTTAGAAACACTATCAGGGTAATCTGAAAACAGCAAGGCTGATGCGTCTGTTAATGCACAGAGCTTATCAGTGACTTCTGAAATGATTATTCATCCCATTTTCACATCTAGCTGATCCACTGCTAGACTGGTATGCAGTGAAATGGGGTCCCTGTGTATACACTGCACAGCTTGTGTGTTATTTTTTTTTCAAAGAAGAGCTCCTTCGTGTTAAGTCTTGTCACTAGTGCAGCCCACCTGGGATTTGCTAGAAATGTATTTGGTCTGGCAACACCTCTTACAGAGTGGTTGAGTCCCTAAGAGCTTTGTTTCAAAGGATGAAATGAAAACAATGGAGACATAATTAGCAGTGGTGTAATAATAGAAATGCTTGTACCCAGTTACTATAGAAATCATTTGATGAAGGATAATCTGGACAGAAGCCTGCACACAACAGCTGTAAAATATTTAAGTCTTTTAATGGGAGAAGGGATATCCAGGGGAGGGTTTGCTAAAGTGATTAAGAGAAATGCCTTTCATAACCGTTTTATGTGGGGGTTCCTAAACTGAGGTTTGTAGCTTTCTTGAAGCCATATTAACAATCAAACTTTTATACACTACTGATACTTAAAAGTGAAATACAGGATATTAATTTTATATGGATATGTCTATGCTACAGAGTTTTTTTTTTGGAAAACAGCTGTTTTTTAAAAAAAACTTCATTTACATCCACATTGCAATCGCATTCTTTTGAAAAACAATTGAAAGAACAGAGGGGTTTTTCTGACATTGCTAAACCTCTTTCTATGAGGAAGAAGCCTTTTTCCGAAAGAGGTCTT